TTCCGCTTTTTCGTCAGCCCCTATTTCTTTAATTCGTCGTTATCGAACAAAAAGTGATACTTGCCGTGATCCCCCGCTTTCAACCGCTCAATTTAATCCTTTTTTCATAGTAACTCAGATCCAGCCCAAGCAATCCATGGTACTTGCAAGGCACTTCATCAGCCATGCCATTATCACTACTGCACGAGCCTCCACCTCATCAAGTACTCCCGCTAATTCTCGCTGCCACTGGGCGAGCCTTGAGGCTATCAGTTCAAAATCTCCATCAAACTGTTAGTACATTTGTGAGTTGACTCCAGCCTCGGGGCCACATTGTTTCATTGTTCACATCGTTCGGATAAGGCAGCTTGCTGGGTGCTCGATCGCCGTGTCTCCAGACTGCCTGTACGTAAAGCAGCTCTTCGACTGATCCTTGCGCACTGATAACTCCAAATAGAGAGAACAGCAGCTCTAGGCAAGGTTTTTTCCGCATTATCCTTGCGTATCTTCCTAAAAATTCGATTATTTTATGCTATAGCGCAATTATATCAGCATGTACGCGCGTCTGATACTGTAGAGCAGAAGGAATATTTTTTCAATTAGTCAAAAATAGCAATATTTTTAGTGGGCTGCAATTTTGTAATGAAATTTTGCTTCTCAGAAGTCTTCAGAAGTCTACTTCTCAAAACCCCAATAGAAAATAATCGAGACGTAAGAATGATGATGTAATTAAGAATATTTTGAGCGAAGATTAAAGGAAAAGCAGAAAGCAAAATAAATAAAAATTCGTTTTGAAATGAAGTGCATCCTAATCCGCTAAATTACGCATAAACAGTGAATCGGCTAAACGGACGTGAAGGTAGACGCGTTTACTCGCATGCAAGCAAATAAGTACAGTTATTACGTGTTGCTCAGTGCCCGCAAAAAAACGAATGAGAAAATTCAGGTAAAAATATAAAATGGGAAACGATGGGTTTTCACGGCACAATGAATAATTGGCGCTGTATGGAACGTGTTTTTATATGCTGATCGGCTGCGTAGGCCTGCCTCTTCCTGATTTCCATATCTATCAGGTTCCTTTGTATGATTCATTAAACTGCAACAACGAGTAAGGAAACTATTATAGGCGGTTGCCCAAGGTCAGTCAGTGCTTCAGCGAGTCCCAATGAAATCGCCAAATTCGACCTTTGTGCTTTCCGTTTTCAAAATTATTTCTGTTTTTTCGGTCTTATTTTTTGAAACACGAATTTCACTAATTTGCATCAAAACCTTCATTGTGCAGTTTTTTAATATACACAGTTGGTAAATGGCCAAGCGCACTAAGATGC